CACGACCCTTTAGTTGCGAGTCAGACGCTTTTCACTAGGAACGGCCCGAGCGTCTGGCACGACAAGAAAGTGCTTTTTGGTCAGAGCGTTTTTGCAAGAAAAGTAGTCTCCGGAGTCACGCGTTTTCATCTGCGCCAAAGATGCACGGAAGAGGGGCCTTTACAACACAGTATGTTTTTAAAACTCCCCCCCCCCCCCACACACACACACACACGCACGCACTTCTTTATACAGCGGAGCTGTTAAGGGCCAGTTTCCCCAGTGTCGTGTCCGTCAGCAAACAAATGATGACACTAAACTCTGGACAGCTACCGCCATCTATAAATGACGACGGCAACCAGACAACCGGCTTGCCTATTGTCTGCTTGCCGCCGTTCCGCATAGATGGCGGCAACTTCTCCAGCCTTTCCACTCTGGCTTGCCGACTTGCGGCCGGCCATTACTTCATTTACACGATAGTACAGCTTAGCTGGTATTCCTTCTTCACCAGAGTGGAAAGGCTGAAAGTATTCCTGAGGAATTGCCTCCTCCGTTGGTGTGTGGTCATTCGATAATTTTATGTGGCACTTGTTAACCGCAACCCTTCATTGCTTTTATTTTGCACCCCGTGAAGCTTAGATGGGTCATAAAACGACATCGGGTTGGAATGTTCATGACTTTTCCGAGGCGTACTGGTCCTCTGGCCCAAGTATACTCGCACAGGCCGCCACTAATTCAGAAACTTCTTTGTCGAAAATTAAATGAGACTATTTTTTTTAGTCTTGCCATCCCAAAGATTGATGTCGCAATTGTAGGATCAAAATCATCCGCCTGACCACAGTCGAGCGCGGCTCATGGATTGGACAGGAGGACTGCGTGAGCACCGTACATCGGCTCGTAACAATCAATGTCTTGGCAGACACTTAGGTAGTGTCTCCTGTCCAACGACTGCGGTGATGAGAATAGCCGAACTCAAACAATGCCTGCAGCTCCCCAGCACGCGTTTTCTTTCTTTCCGATTCCAGCGAGGGGGGTATGAATAACGTTGGCGGAAGATAGGCACCAGGCCACGTGGCCGCTTCTGGCTCCAAGTTGAGGGGATGAACGATGCTCATATTTCTCGCATTTTTTGGCGACTGCCATTGCCTAGAAAAAATAGCAAAGCCAAGTTCAAGCAGATATTAACGTTAGAGAGTGATCCTGAGTATAGTATTTACTATTTAGTGATGTATAGAAATATTATTATAGCTCCTTTAAGCAAAGTACAGAGGGAGTCGAAGCTTGGGCAATAACTTGAGAACGACGCTCGTGTGAGACTTACAGCGACTGCCAACGTTCGGCTGCCTCTCTGAGGTCACTAAAATATCCTTTTTTTTTAGTATTCCTTCCGTACACACGTGCTTGTATGTAACGTCATATTAATAAGTCGTATTTAGTAATTTCAGTGCTTCTATTCTCAGGGACATCTTTCGGATGCAGTTCAGCAACAACGAAAAACTATTTGGGTGCCTCAATATTGTAAAATAGGTCTTGCAACATTTTTTCTTGTACTTTCAATAAATAGTGTTCAGAAATAACCTATAATGTTGATAGCTTGCGGAAACATCCATTAGTTTTCCTCTAATAGCAGATGCAGAAAAAATAAAGGAAAGAGACAACTGTCGATATCTCCTCAACTCACAATTTAAACAAGCGGTCACGTGTTTTGATACCGCCAGTGTTCATCACAGTCATGCTCTAGACGGCTAGGGTTTGGAAAGCAAAAGCTTGGGCTGAGCTTCAGATATTGTTAGAATTGAGCTATTACCATACGTAATTGACATAAGCCGTTACCTGAATTTTTAGCGGTGCTGATTGCCATGAACCCGAGCACTCGACTAGAGGTTGTGAAAATCGCTTACGTCACGGTGTCACGTGACTCTCGGTGCGAAATCGTGATGTCATGTTACGTCATGGTGCCAACAATGTTAATACGTCTAGTGACTTCCTCAAACTAAATTGAGTTGACGCAGTGAGTCACATGACATCACAAGGTCACATTTATTGACACCATGACGTCACGTGACATCGTGGCACATGGTTAATTATAGTGCCATGAAAACCCACAACTTACGATACTTTTCAATTCTGTATATGACGATTTGATCCATAGATCCATACAGCCGCCAATTTTTTATTCCCATAAGTTCATTTTTTGATACTAAAAAAAAATAAAAAAAGAAGTATTACCTTGAACCGTTTTGAACCGGTTACCACTATATTTTTTTCCGGTTCGGCTCCGGTTCAGTTCCATGATGGCGGCAAAGATTTCGGTTCGGTTCAGTTCGGGTTCGGCTAAAAATAACGGTTGTGTTCCGGTTTTCGGTTCGGTTCGGTTCCGGTTCGACACCCTGTTTTTTACTTGCTTTAGAGCAGTTTGAAAGTACCTGCTAGAGGCACTTACAGTACCTGCTTTGCCTGCTTTCCAACTTTGCCTAAGAGGCAAAGTTGGAAAAGCTTGCTCGCTCTCCAATATCTCAACCCTCAAGTGATTGTACCATAATAAATGCACCAACGCCTCTTCCCAAAATAAAGGAAAAGCCCTACGTTCACTACGTAAAAAATGGTCTCAGTACATGCATCTGTGGGCAGGTAGGAAACCTTGCCCTAATTTATTCACGCCGCATGATTAGCGCAACAAATTCGTTGCAGGACCGAATCATCTACTCGAGCGGTGTGCGTCGCTGTGCAAACGCAGTCCAACAGGAAGCATAAAAACGGCAGATTTAAGACAACAATCCGGAGTACATTATTCAATTAAAACGAAGTAATTTTGTTGAAAACGGCCGCTGCTTCTTACTCACGGTATGTGTCGGGATACTTCCACAGTTTGAAACGGAACGAAGGAGGATTTATTTTTAAAAACGCTCGCTGCGTCCTTCCGGACCAGCTGGACCGGATCAGCTGACGACGACGGGACTGTACCCGTTGAACCTCCACCCCGCAACAAACAATTTGCGCTCCGTGTTAAAATCGCGGTTCAAACAGACCCAGAATACAAAGCACCGCACCACACACGACGAAAGTTTCAGCTCTTTTTCGCATCGCCGTGTTGCACCAAACAGAATGAGATCGCCGAAGTCAACGCCGCGCTGTCGTGAACCTTGGCTTGTAGTTGCGCACTCGTGCGTGGACCCTGTGGCTCCCTTCGCTTTCAAAGCACACACGACGATTACGATTGATACTTTCCGTCTTCTGGGAACATCACAGGGGCACTTCTCCGGTTACGTCTTCGCAACATGTGCTTGCAAACCTACGAGCTTCTAGCGTCCCGACAAACCAAAACAATACCGGAGCCATGCTAAACGTGCGTTGTTGCCAGATTTTTACGTACCAAACAAAAGTAACGAAAGCAAACCGGCTCTAGCTTCCAGCGTACATCGTCGTTGCGCCGTGGCCAGATTTTGTCTGTCAGACCTAACTTAAAGGTGACCTACATATGCAGCAAACTGGTATACATTTTTAATACGGCGGCCACCACGGAGCGCCGTAAATTCTGAGGAGGGTGCATAAGAAGCTTCGGCACCTTCGCTTGCAGTTGAAGGGTTGAACCAAAACGAAACCAACTGCAATATCACGTGTTCAGATCGAGGGCACGCTTTTTATATCCATTTTAACTTTATAGAACGAGTAATTAGTCCCATAATTTTATTTGTGGTATGTAAGAAACTATTATCAAGACCCCTAAAATAAATACAAACATGAACGACATGAGGGAAGCCGCATTGCCATCGACCAGAATCAATGGCAGGAATGGCATGGAGCGCGGTAAGCGCGGAGTTTGCCCCATAGAGATCATACGTACTAACTCTAGAGGAAAAAGTCCGACATTTTCCCATGCATTCTGGCTGCCGCAAGCGGCGGAGTATTGATGAAAATAATCCCTGGAGCAGGGGAACAAGAGGGACAAAGGACAAACACAAACCTCAAAACACAGCGGAGTATGCAGGCAGACCCTCGGGGTCCCACATGTTTACCAACTGCCTTCGATTTCACAAATATATTATCAGAGCAGTTTCATGAACTTCAACAATCCACGAACTTACCGGTGCAAAGATATTCGCGTTCCTTTCGAAGCTTTCTTTTTGCATAGCACGCAGATGTACGGCCTCCCGTCAACACTAAACTAAACCAGATAACCGGCTTCGGTTATCTGATTTAGTTTCGTATATCCGAGCGCGGGTGGCCGCGCTCGGAAATACGAAACCGCGCAACTACCAGATTTTCGAGATTTTGACAGAAGGGAAGTTAATGCAGCGTAATGAATATACCGCTTTTTATAAGCGTTACAAAAACCCCAAAATTTTGTTTACAATGCTAAATTATCACTATTTATATTGCTGAAAGTTTTCAGTCTTCGCGATTACCATTGCGACTGTCGTCCTTCAGCTGGCAACATTTGTTTCTTTCTCTCATGTTCTTTCGCTCTCGTTCGCGATCTTCCACTCGGGACCCAGGATGTCGGCGCGCGGGATTTGCCGCTCCTCCTCACCCACCTTTACCCCCCTGGTTCGCCCCGTCCCGCGACATGGCGTAATTGCTTTTGGTGCATATCTGTTTACGAGACATGTTTCTTTCCGCGGCATTTGTCTCCACGGTAATTTCTAAGTGTGTCCCCAAGCATTCCGGTGCTTCGATAGCCGGCAATGCCGCGGTCGTCGTCGGGGGTGAAGCGTGTTTTCGAGGTCGGCTACACGAACATGCGTGTATGACCGAACCGAAACACGTTTTTTACAACCTCGCATGATTTTTGAACGAATTATTCGTTACTCAACGTGTAAATTTAAGCTAATTTGTGTAAATACCGTGTTTTTCACCCCAAATATTTGCTAAATATACGGTACTTGCTAACAGTGTAGAAAGGTAGTGGGGCCTCGCCACGCCTTGCGTCGTTTCCTTAACTCTCAACGACTACTGTGGCAAACTGTAGAGAGACTAAAGGGAAGGCGAATACTGCTCATGTTTTTTTCCATTCGCTTCAGCACAAGATAGCTCCGGAGCTGCACGACCTGGTCCGCAGGTACGAGCCGGACCTGGTCTGGTCCGACGGAGACTGGGAGGCCCCGGAGAGCTACTGGGAGAGCACCAAGTTCCTCGCATGGCTCTACTCAAACAGGTGAGACGGCCGTGGCATTTTGGAATTAGGCGTTACCGGAGCGCGTCTGTCAGGTGCCCTCTCTCGCTTCCCCTCCCCGTTTCTCGGTCATCTGACATACTTATTCAGTCTCTCTATACCTGTCTCCCCCCTTCCGTCTCCCTCCTCCTCCCAATCTCTCTCCCCACCGTCCCACAGAGCTAGCTTCAGCTTTCCTCACCAGTTCCACTTCCCTCTCCCCTTGTTTACGTGACACACCAATTGAGTTTCCCCCACATTTATAAAAATTAGGGTCTTTACACCCGGATCGATTGTTTCATGTCAACCACACAGTAGAAACAATCGCTTCTAAATACTGCATTGCATGCGCTATAGGAGATTGGTGTTAAAGGTGGCTGCCAATTTTACTCTTCAAGTCAATCGAACGGCCCTTAGATCCGATTTGCGGTCCGTGAAGATTTCTAAATGCGACAAATATCAAATAATATAAATCGATTCATCGACAGATATCCAAAATTTGTAGAGTGATCGTAGTGATTCAAGGAAATACGTGGAATCGGATCCTATCGTTTTATGATGGACACCGAGATTGCGCAATGCGTTGTGGTGCAACTCCTATTGAAAAATCTAATTTTTATAAGAAATGTTGGTGTCCAATGAACATATATGAATCATGGAAGATATATAAGAACATATAATAACCATATCAGAACTATATAAGGTATATACGAACGTATAACAACCATATAAGAAACTTGTGAGAAGTGCATTTTGAAATTTCTCATATGGTTATTATATGTTCTTATATATCTTACATGGTTCTTATACGTCTTATAAATATTGTATGATTTATGTGTTTTTATAGGACAAAAGGAATTTCTCATACAAATGGTTTTTCACCAGCTGTGGGCTTTCTCTGAGCACGAAAGATAAGTTGGAGCAAGTTGAACCAAGAAGAAAATAGAAAGTAGAGAATCATTACTACTTTTTTTAAATATTCAACACATATTAGCCCCGAGAACATGGCGTGGCGCCACCTGACGGGCCTCTCGTCGTGACGTAGGATGGGGGATCACTTGACCATTTCCTGCACTCTGCGTCAAGGGTGGAGTGTCTCGGTCTTCACTTTTTTTTTTAATACTACGGGTTTTTAGTGCTTCTTTTAGACATATGTTTCGTTTCAATACTGGACCCAGTCAAGTTCCTAAATCGGCTACCGTACGAATGCTTCCGGGGATCCGTTTAGCCGGTTGCAGGCGAGCAGGAAAACGGTCGCTGCACGGAGGCGCGGCGGCGTGCAGGGTACCGGTCAACTTGTCGTTTTCGGCGGCTGTCTCGCGCACCGCAATGAATGCTTATGAAGTGCAACCTACCGTTGAAGGTAGGCGAATTTTTTTTTTAAATTATTTTCAACCGGGTAGTTTGTTACAACTGTGTACCCCTTTTCAGTTGTGCAGTCTGTAAGCTGCATCGATGCGTTGTTAAACAAGGCCCACGAAACATACCGGGGGTTGCTCGAGGGCGAAAGTGTTCATGAAATGGGACACGCGTTCTCCTGTAGTATCAAGAAGCTGGATAAGGGTTGCTACACGTTTATTGGATTCGTTCTCCAAACATCGGCACTCACTTCGTGCCCGCACGAACTAGAGATAACACTGAATGACAGAAACGTCGGTGACACATCGTGCTCCTGCAAAGCATGGGTGAAGGAACATCCTGTGTATCGTTACTTGGTTCGGTTTTATGTACCCACCGGCCGGCGTGCTGTGAAATCTATCGAGGAGCTCGCTGCCAGAGCCGGGAGCGAAACAACTGGAGGATTGCGACTTGCGATGAACGGAGAAGTGCGGCACCTTTTCCCAAATGTGATCGGTCGTTTCCCGTTGTTTTCGGTGCTAAGGAATAAAGAAGAAAAAATATTGTGGCTCAGTGGTAGTGTGCTCGCTTCCCAAGTCTTGAGTCGAAAAATCAATATGGTGCATTTTTTTAACGTTTTGAAGCACAGGTTTTGTAGCTTTTTGCGATGTCAGAATTTTCGAGCGACCAATATTAAAGCTTGTTGATAACATTTAATTTCATAAACAAATATCAGATCATTCAAAGGCCAATGACAGTTGTTTGTGTACAGCCTTTGCGGTTTTATCTCTTCTGTAAAAAAGGATTAAGCAAGTATTCTTGTAGCTAAGCGTATTAGAGTTGTAGAATAGTTTTGTTTGGGCCCTAATAAGAAAGACAGATGGGTCGCAAGAAAAATATTACTTGCTAATACGAGTGCAGCTACTTGTATCAGCAACATTTAAAGTAAAATAAATTGATCCACATAACATTCTCACATTTATGCAGCTGCTGGTTGCTTAATTACCACTAAGTTGTAGGTGATGTTTGCAATAAAATAGTCAGTAGAATATTATGTCTTGTTAACCTCTGAAAATTACTCTTTCAAGTCGATTGGCACTGAGCTCTACTTGCATTGCGTGCCGCCAACTTGTACATTCACTTTTAACCCCATTCAAATGATATTGAATTTGTATGAGAAAGGTGCTGCTATGCAGGATGAGACTGTTCACATTTTATGAATCATAACGGTATGCTTCTCCTTGGGGTAGATGTTGAAGCTGATGTTTGGGTCCTTCGCGTAACTGCGGCATTGCATCACTGAACAGTAGTTTACCATTGCTTCCTGAGATCGACAGTTGCAGAAGCCGATCCACGCGTTTACTGATCAAGCTTCAAGTACAAAAAAAAAAAGCTAGAGTACCGAGCGAACGGTTTCCGAAGACCCCGACCAAAGCAAGGCGGAATATCTGGCCTTATCCCGTGGTCCCCCATCCTACGTTACGGTCGAGCGATCGCAGCGCTCCAACTGGTTCCGCTCGGGACCAATCGCTGAACTTTTAAAATTATTACTTTACAAAATATCTACAAAAGTGTTCAGCAGCTCTAAGGTGTTGGCTAAGGACTGAGCTAGCAGACTTGTGTAGTGAAGGTGTCGAAAATTGTGTTTGCACGATTTGACACATAGGTTGACGCATAATAAAGCAACACATAACACATAATTACACATCAGAATGTATTAGAAATAAAGCACTTTATGAAACAGTTTTCCTGACTGTATCATATAAAAGCGTAATTTACTTTCCGGATTCGCCTAGCTCACTCAGGCTAAGCAATTAATTAGTTGGCTGCTTGGACTCAATTCTGTCACTTTTTGACATACAATGTCTATAATGGGAATTACAATACTACTGCTTTTTAATACCGATCAAGAGCGCTATATCATTATTTTCTAATATGTTCCTGTGCATCGCAGATGTATTGCTGCGTGATTGCTGAAACAGACATCATCAGCGCTGGTGAAAACTTTCGATGCTTTAGACATTAACGGTTCTGGATTAACAACCTAAGTAAACGGATCGGAGAATTTATTGCTTGCGTCATCTCGTTTAGCAAACCTTAGATAGGATGATTTATGGTTTTCTAGAATTCCTATTCTGAGTGCAATTTCCTTCGTTTCTTCGTCCACACAGCACCGTCCAAGATACAGTGGTGACAAACGACCGATGGGGCAAGGGCCTGTGGTGCAAACACGGCGACTTTAGGAACTGCAAGGACGGGAACAATCCAAGTGAGAGAAACACACTTTGAAGGGTCAAGAAGTGGAACCTCTAAGTATCAGCATAAGTTATAATTCGAAAGGCGGTCGATGATATCAATGGTCTGCGAAATTACCAAGTGTGGATAAAATAGTATTAACGCATAAATAATCATACATCCACACCGCTGGATTGAAAACCATTTTCAATACACAACTTCTTTCTTCTTTCTTAGCTATCAAAATGAAGTTGTTGTTTGATCTCTTTTCTTTTTCATCCTCCTTTTTAAAGCTGCGAGGTGACCACAACAGGACATCTCGTAGCTCATTGCCGCGCGTGCCAATGTGAAACAATAATGTTCGACCTAGCCCCATCTTGGAAATACCATCAGATTAACTCGGCCATGAACTGTTGGAAGCCCCCTTCATTCTACACCACCACGAGGAGGTAGGATTCTTCCGAAGGTCCACAAGAGCGAATCTGTGAAGAGGTTGAAAAAGAAAATAGATAAAAATCACAGTCACTCCGATAGATAAGAGAGAAGTGGCGTTATTAAATGATGGCTAGTTCAGGCGTGTGAATGTGTGATTGTTTATGTGTCTTTACTATTTTATGTTCTGGGAAGGTCACAGATTATGAACCAACTAATTTAGCTTCAACCCGAAACAAGATATAAATAGCATCTTTCTTTCAAGTTGAAAGGGATATAAATTGCATCTTTCTTTCACGTTGAAAGGAATCAATCAGTGGATAAGCAATAGGCTTTTTTTTTATATCATTCCAGAATGCCACGTAGAAAAGAGAATTGGGGCGTTGTTCTGATCTACGCGTGTGCCGACTCCAACCCTTCCTATATTCCAGAAGCTGTACAATGAATTATTTCTTATTATTAGAAGCTTCGAGCTCACAAATAATAAACCAATCACTGAAGGGGGTCTACAAATGCTCTGTCTTTCTTTCCTTCTGCCTTATCAATGGTCTGCAAAATCTTCTTCTATTGCCGAATAATCTCACGGGCCGTTCATAGTGTAAACGGCTTATTTTTTTGCGGGATCAATATTTGGCGAATTAAGTCAAAGCTGAAGTTTAGGAATAGTTCGCGGGTTCTCATTTTCACGACGAGGTAGAATCTCAATTTAGTTTCAAATATGCTTACATTTTACATATTTCCTTCGCGGGAACTTTTTGCGCGAATTGTAGGCGATTCCCGAAATGGGCGAAAATCAAGTCTTTGCGAAAATTAATTCATTTACAGCATATTAGAACGTCACAACGCGTCACCCAGACGGTGGGGGCACCATATATTTACGGAAAGGTCCGAAGTTCAAAACGGTGACATGATGCTGCTCTCTCTAGTGTAGTGAGAAGTGTATATCTTTGCTCACTTCTTGCGATCATAAAATCCTGAGTGAACCTGCGCTCAGGAGTGGTTGTTTATTTTTTTCATTTACCCATAATATGTGTAGGCCCTACACAAGTGTTATTAATATCTCATAACGTTTGCTAATAAACTTTTTCGGGATAAGAGCAAGAAATGTGTTTAATATCAATACAGGAGAATAAACTAAAAGTGGTTTTCAGTAATCAGCACATGGGAACACACTGTGTCATCCTATTAGAAATAAAAATACGTTTGAACTAATTTATTCTTAATGTTCGCAGGCCTCAACAATGCAGGTATATTTATCATGGCACATGCGTACGTTAATTAAATCATCCTCTTGAGGATAAATTGTCGCAAATCACATTCTCTTCTAACTCACGCTGCGGTCTTGTTAATGTTCAGACAAAAGAAAATGATGTTCCAGGGCCGCTTTTTATGCCATGATGCTCTTTTTTTTTCATTCATTCATCCCTTAAAGTGGCACTAAATGCTGTTGGAGATCATCGTATTATTGTCATGGCTCAATCTACAAGAAATGAACATCCTAAAAAATCCAAAATTGCATTTATGCCTGAGCCATTTGCGTATTAAACAGTTTATCAAAGATTGCGACACTTACCTTTGTCGCAGAACGACAGGCGGTGCTACCGAACCGTGCTGAACATGATCGAACGACGCGCGGCGGTTGTCAGCCACTCGCGACGATGGGTTACCGCGTGGACGAGCGTGGTTGGCCGTTTGTCTATGTGGAAACCTATCGCTCGAGAGTCGCTGGTAAGCACCGACCGTTGTTAAACAATATTCAGCAGGGTGCGCTAGAGCTATGTGTCGTTCTGAGACAAAGCTAAGTGTCGCACTATTTCGTCACTTTTTTCATATGCGAATGGATTGCGCATAAATGTAATTTGGTGTTTTTCTTTTTAGGACCCGAGCGCTCGTAGATGGAGTTATGACCATAAGACGACGATTTTAAAAACCACTTCAGTTCTGCTTAATGATGATTTGCAGGGGCCCGTAACGAATGAAGATCTTTATTTATACAAAATTAAGCACTCCTTAAAATTGAAATGAAAGTTTCTTTTTTTTTTTTATGCAAGATCATGTTTATATTAAAAAAAAATGATCTTGTAGCTCTTTAGCGAAAGTTGGCCAGTCTGCAATGCATATCGCACCTCCTTCTGAAATGCGTCTTGGTACACTTTAAAAAAAGTCTGTGCGTCTACTTTCACGCACACCACTCGAAGAGCCAATCAGCGCAACTTACGGAGGCAGTTCAGCGAATGATGATGCCGAAACACATGTTTAGACCAAAAAACGCAGTCTGAGTTGTGACATTAAGCAATGCAAGCGTGACGTTTTGCATTGCTTAATGTCGTAACTCAGACTGCGTTTTTTGGTCTAAACATGTGTTTCGGCATCGTCATTCGCTGAGCTGCCTCCGTAAGTTGCGCTGATTGGCTCTCCGAGTGGTGTGCGTGAAAATAGACGCACAGACTTTTTTTTAGAGTGTAAGGGCTTAAAGCTAATTCAATGCTGCTCCACTGACGTTTCGTCCACATGGCAACTAAGGCACGCATTTGTCGATCGATAGTTTAAAAAGACGTCACCGCAGAGCTGAATTCAAACAAGTCTTTGAAACTAAAGACCCAAATATTAAGAAATAGAGACCCTAGCAACAACTATCTAAACGACAGATTCGTAAAAAAAAAGTATTATTTGGTTTACGCAAGAAAAAAAATCCGTAAGTATCAGGCGCTTTCAACAATCTTCGTCTAAAATGCATTGGCACGTTTTAAATTTTCGACGACGACGACACCACGATGTTGTAAGAGCTTTGCTCGCTCCGTCAACCTTTCAACGACTAGCGACGAACGAAAAAAGGGGAGTGGAAGCCCTTGATTCATTGTTCGCGCGATGTCTTCATTGAATTACCGAACGTCGCGCGTCAGAACCGATAAAAGCCGGCAAAAAGCCTGCGAAAGAAATAAAATCCGGGGCATATTTTGCTTCCGCTTGCCTAGAGATATGCTCTATTGCTAAGGAGTAGAAAATTGTGACTAAAGGCAGCGATACAAAAAAAAAATTTAACAAAAACTAAGTTATGTAAGTTTCGAGACTTGTTAGCGCAGGATATTTCTCGTCTGCTTCTGCATACGGTTGAAAATGTCTTGGAATGCATTAGTGAAAGTGCTTGGCGAATGCCAAGAAATACGGTGTCAAACTGAGAGAGAGGAGGATATCAGAGTGCGGGGGTCGTCTGAGTGCTGAGCTCTGATTGGAATAATACCCAAAGAATAGCCGCCTCTTCCTCTTGTCACTCTCCTCTTCGAATCCGAGTAAAGAAGAGCGTCGTCTGCCCTATGCGCGTTGTCTTTCCTTCGAACGCGTTGGATCAGTGAGCAGAGACAAAGGCAGCTACCCTTTGCATATGTGCGGTCAACCCGGTATAGTTCCGAGAAGAGTTCGGTGCTTTGATGTTCCCCCAGGCTCTTGTCTCCTTTCCTCCCTATGTCTTTCACCGAAAACATATGTAGTTGCTTACCGCTGAAGGTGTAGGTTATCCACTTTTACCGGTCGAAACACCGATGTCTAAGACGACCGGAAGAGGCTCCGCCTCTTACGGCGCGTCTGGACCGAGGACGAAGCCCAAACGTCGGAAATGGAGCGTACTACAAGGAGCTCGCTCAAGCTCTTGCAAAATGGCCGGCGCCACCGCGCTGAAAACCAACGTTCTGAAGGTTGGTTCACACTGGACCGTTTACTTAAGCTGTTTTAAGTTACGCATGGGTCATCGAAACATTCTCGGCTCGAATATTGCGCGCCAGGCTTTCTCCCTGAAGTGGTATAACCACACTTAATATGAAGCACAGATGTCCGTTGGCTTGTGGCATAACCGGACGCACATTTTGGCAACCTAACGTAAAACAACAAAAAAAAAGTGGCTGTGTGAATTAAATTTACTGGATTCTGGGAAGGTAGCACCGGACACAAACATAGACTAACATAAATACGTTCAAAAGCTCGCAAGGTGATTGCTTAATCGGCCTCCGTTGCCGTATCAATATCCATTTTGGTCTATCAAAATCTCCGAAGCTTCGAGGCCGTTCTAAACCAGTTTCACCGAGATCACCATAAATCATTATCGTATTGAATGCGTTCTTTGGCAGCATAAGTGTCTAGGCACTGTGTATGCAATAAACTAATCAATCGTGCCCATCTCCATGGATGTCTCACAATGATTTTGCTCCTTTTGCGAATTTCAAGAAAAGAAAATTATTTTTTCATGCCTTCATGCGCCGACACCGCATGTAGTGGCGGTACGTAGACGTACACTTGTTTTGCTGGTGTGTGCGTAGCAAAATCTCGGCATTCAAGAAACTTCTTTATAAAGTTACCCGTCACCAGCGAATTCAGATGGACACACCACAAATTAAAAGGTCAAAAAGAAATTGCTCATTTTTTTAACGAAGATGGCGACAATACGGGACATCTTGTCGCTAGTCTCCCAGAATTCATTGACCTCAGTGTGAGCCCCCCTTTGGAGGTTGACAAGCTCCGCAGAAGAGTGGTGTTTGTGAATTTTTTTCCTCATCGCTTGCATGCGGGCAGGTGCATGCGGACAGCGTTCTTAGCGTCACCAGCGGCCAT